TTCACGTTAATGAAATCAAAACAGAACCTTTTCTGAGTTTTCTGGATCAGTGCCCTCACTTACTTGCCCTCAGTGGTGGCTTTGCTGTGTGTTACTGCAGACGTGGACATTCCCACTCTGAGTAAAACAAATAGTTCCCTCTTGTGTCCAATTTATGACACTGCCACTATCACAGTCACCCTGACGTATGGTGTAACTAAATGTCAAATGTACACGTTTAAAAAAACGTTCAGCATCCACCCACTGCTTTTCTTTACAAGCTTGGAGGATAGTTGTATATTTTTCATTTTAAATGTAATAGTTTAATGAATACACTTTAAACACCTGAGCTATTAAAACACTGACACGTGATATTTGAATAAAGGGATGTCATGTCTTTACAAATCTTACAGGTCTTATATCTGGAGCTCTGATACTAATGTGTCATGGTTCAGAGTCAGTACTGCTGCATTTCAACTATGAGGCGAGCTGATCCAAGCTAAGGCTAAGAAACATTGCGAGTTGTGATTTACAAACAACATTTCTGACCTGGGCTCAATTTTTACTAAACAGGATTCTTAAAGTTCAACTGAACACCAAAGTAAGATAATTTAACAAATGTCCAGAGCCTATTTGTGTTTTGACATTTCTGAAGTTAGTGATGTGTAGCTGAACACCAAATCAAAGGCTAAATAACTTGGATTAAACTTCCCTTTGGAAAAGAGAGGGAAATAAACTCTTCTGGACTCAAACAGGAGCCTAAGCCAACAAGAACCGGTCATCAGGGACCATCGAGAAAGATTTGTTTTAGTGGTGCTTTCACTGGATGAACGTTTGAGTTATTTTATTTTGCCATATTTTATTCACCAGCAAGGATGATATTGATCAACTACAGTTCATGTGTATACTGGCAGCTTCAAACAGCTAAACAACCCAAGCTTCAATGTCACATATTAGCTATGTCCTCATATATATTATTAAATATCTTTTATTTCCCTGAAATCCTCAAACTGACGAAACACGCTGCAATACAATTGGCAACAGTGTAAAGCTCTTCTGTATGTGCAGCATATATTATCACAATACTGACATTCCTACAGTTGAAGTCATTTTCTTCTTTCTGCTTTCAGTCCAGGATCCTGGGATTGTACATGCTGATCACTGACACGGCTTACAGAAGAGAGAAGAGCTACTGTTGATGTTACTAACAAACGTCTTTCTTAAAATGAGTCAACATATTTTTAAAAAACAGTCCATCACGCTGTAGCAGTCGTCTGAGTGTTTTATGTAAAGACTTGGTTCACAAATGGTAATTAATACAATCCAGTCAAAACAAGGGATACAAAAAATAATCAACATTTTTTTGTTCAGAATTTGATCTATTGCCCCCTTTTTTTTAAATTAATAAACACATTTTTTTATTTACATTTCAGTGCTAAACTTAAACATCAAAGCTAATGGACATTCTGTCCTCGCTGGTGCCGATCTTTTCTTTTTATGTGTATAAAGTAACAAAAATATGCACTTACAAAAATATCACACTCAATTCATTAATTCAGTTTATAGCCTCAAATTCTCAAACCTCCTAGAGATGCAGTTTATACAAAAGAACCCCACGGCATGTTTCACTTTGCCCAGAAACTAAACATGTAAAGTGTGAGGAGAACTGCATTTCACTCCCATGTGTACGCTGAGTGTGTGTTGTGGAAGTGACAGTAAATGAAATCTCGAGTTTTATATCAAACAAACTTCTCACTATTGAAGATGTCATGTCTTTTGATCTAAGGTTTGTTTGTTCAGAATGTCCTTGCTTAGAAGTGCATTACCACATGTTGAAGGTACAAAAATGGCAATAATGAACACTAATGGTTGTGCTGCTCTCAAATGATGTAACAACCCGTAACTGCCGAGAGGTAAGAAAATAAATTGAATGCTGTGTGTGACAGCAAATGTTTGGCAGTGCTGGAAATGTGTTTGATCTTTAAAGAGTGGGCCGTAGACGTGCAAAACATCCGTACTGTCCTTAAATGTACTGAATACTGTTGTGACATTCCTCCTTCTGTGTTATGTTGTATTTCACTTCAGTTTATCTAATTGCAAAAAAAAAACCCACATGACAAACAGTTTGTCCCAACAAACACAAAATGTCTGACTGTTTACATGCCAGAAAATCTCAATTCAGTGTAAACAAAATGTAGCGATGTTGAAAAAGAAAAAGAACATTATTCTTTTCTATCAGTTTGGCAAGCTTGTCGTTGCATTCTGAAGTTCTGTTCGCCTGTATACGTTTGTTTTATTCCAGAGAAAATACTGTGCATCAATAGTCAGCAACAACACGGCCTACATCCTGTGCTGCGAGTGCGGCTGCTCCCAAACAACCTAACCATGTATTTGTCAGCATAAATTCATATTTGGTCTACATCTGTAATACATCATAGTGTTAGTTGATTTTGAACTAATGCTTCCTTAATCACATCAATCAGATTATTCACAAGTACGCTTATTCCAGAATCTAAAAGTTAGACTCTATGTGCAGTTTTCTGATACAGCAAAAAAAGTATACTTTTAATAAATCTCAATAACAACGAGTAATGAGTAAATTAATTCACACAATTCCCTTACAAGTGAGACTCCCTAGGGCTAAAAAAAAAAAACACAAGGAAACTTAGAATAACTACTTTGAAATAAAATAGACATATTCATTAAAGAAATAAGTTAATCTAAAGTACCTTTATACAATCATTTTGTTTGAATAGATCTGCTATAAAATACATATAAGGTGACAACTGTTGCATAGAAATGTCATATTTCTTATTTACTGGAAGTGCAGTAGTTCAGGAGAAAATAAAGTCTTTCAAATGTTTTATCTCCAAAAACAAAAGAGTTCTTTAGAAATGACTGGCTGCACAAGAATTAGTTCAACAATTTAAGGCCAACCTCCCGTCAAATTTCATTTTAAATGTGGCAACAAGTTGAAAAAAAGATCCTACAAACAGGACTGTCCTTGATGTGGGAAGAGAAACAACTCTAACGCTCTGCTGGTTGGCTGGTGGGGGGGGTAAAATAAAAAATAAAAACTGTCAGTGCAAAAATCTGTGGTCCTTCGTCAGACTTGTTAAAAAAATGTTTGTTCACAAAAATCACAAACTCAATAGTACAACAAACTATGTGACATATGTGCTATGTGCATAGCTAATCAGTGTTTCCTCAATTGAATATTATCTTTATATTATAAGTACTTGTGTATTTCTCGATGTGGTGACATGTTACTTCCCTACATGTCAGTTTTACACCTGAGACAAACTGATCCGCTGTGAGTTGAAACAAGCAGCAGCATTAAGCGGCTTGATTTGTAGTTTTAACAGATCTTAATATTCAATAAATAAAAATAAGTCAACAGACTGTTTAGTGTGATGTTTTGACGTATTATTTTGTAATTTCTTTTATTCCCTTTAATTACCTGAACTTGTTATAGGTCCCTGCTTCACCTCATATTGACATTTTCAGCACTGCAATCACTGTGGTTGTAGAATTTTCCCCAAAATCTGCTAGTAAGAAAATACATCATTCATGTTACCTATTTGTCTTAATGTATTTAAAGAGATACTTCACCCATTTGTATTAAGCTTTGTGTCATTAGAAACCTGGTAGTATTTTTGAATGGTCGTGCATCCCGCCCTCATTTTCCCCTGAAAATCTTTGTATTTTTAACTCTGAAAAGGAGCTTCCAGTGACGCAAAAAACCTCATTTTGCGTCATCGGAAGCTGTTGCGGTTAGCGGGGGTGAAACTACAACGCTAGTTCCTCATATTTCTGACACTGAAGCTACAGACCAATCACAGATCAGTGGGTGGGAAACTCACTCCCAGAATCGAAACTTCCGCCATATTGCTTTGAAGTTATGCTAATAGGCTCTGTGGAGAAAGCTGATAATGGAGAAAAAATATAAATATAGCGGCGAGATGGCTGCTGCCGACAGGCCGGTCTTCAGTCTAGGCTGCTGCAGCTGCTGGCGGCCGCTGGGTACTGCCCGCCGGGGCCGGCACTTGATTGCTAACATAAGGCCTGCCTGTCGGCGGCAGGGAGGACGAGGAGCCGGGGCCGGCTCGAGCTGGGGCGGACTGGTGGTGTTGATGCTCTCACTGTTTGTCTATGAACACAGACAGAGTCTGTTTTCTGACAGGAATTTCCAAGATGCCAATTCCTTCAGGAAGAAATCTCGGAATCAGTTGAGGAAATGGCCGTATGTGTGGGAGTGGCCTGCGGTGCTGTGCATTCTGGGATTCATGGATTCATGAGCCAAAAAAGACACTTTCTGCTTTTTCTCAGACAAGAAGGCACCAACTTCAAAATGTATTTCACATTCCTACTACATGTATGACCAGATGTCAATACAGATTCATGTTTCAACGGGTGAAGTATCCCTTTAAGTATTTAAGTTCTATAAAGTTATGGGATGCCTGAAGTCTAAAAAAGAACCATTATTATTTTCATTTCAATCTTAAGCTATCATCCCTTTTTTCACTTTGAAAACTGAAAGCTTTTCATGGTAAGTGTTTGGTCAGTTTTCTTTGTTTGGAGTGACAGGAGATCCTGACAGAAAGTTGTGAACAGTACACCTTACTGTATGTTTTCATGGATTATTTTTTAAACAAGTGCAATGTTACACCAAAAAGTTTGTGACTTTCAACACAGACTTTGATGATAAAAAACCCGAGCTGATGTATTATTACAAAGTGGAACTATAAAATCTAAAGAACAAATACAACCAAACCCATCAGTGAATATGAAATTCCAGTTCTCTAACATGTCAAGAGGAGGGCGATGCGTTTTCTATCTGAGAATATTATTTTTTTTTTTATATAAAAGAGAGAACTTTGCCAGGTTTTAACATACCAAATGGAAATCTACCAGATGAGGTGTCAAGGATCACACTCCCCCCCGCCTTCTACTTGTGTGTCCTCATTGTAGCTCCCAGCGACCTTCTTTTACGTCAGGTTCTACGTGTGAGGCGATGTGTCGTTCCTGGAAGTGCTGATGCCTTTTTTTTTTTTTTGTTGTTGACAGTGTTGAGTCTCCCTGGCTGCTCTTATGTAGTCGACTCCTGCTGAATCTGGATGTAGCAGGCCTGCAGCAGATTCATTAAATTATGATTTTAGAAAAATGCAACAAGATTGTAACATGTTTTGAAGCTTTCCAGTCCTTTATTGTAAATGGATTATTTTAAACCGGAGGAGTTGTGTAAAGTTTTGTGAGCATTAAGTGAATGCAATTTCACAATCACAGTGTTGCTTTGGCATCAAATACAGGCAGAATGCCAGCACGTTTTGACAGTTTGTCTGTAATCAGTGGGGCTATGAGTGTGTTTGAGACGGCCTACCCTCAGTGTGGTGAACATCATTCCCAGCTCTCCGTGCTGAACGTTGGAGTCCATCAAGTCGTCTATCAGACTGACCTCGGCTCCCAGGTTCTTAACCCTGTGGAACAGAGCAGCAGAAACACAACGTGTTCAGTCACCATGCGTGAAGTGTCAGCTAATCGTACTCTATGATTGTTAAATAAATACACTAATATAATAGTTCAATGTGTGTCATCAACACTGACAAAAATACATTTAGTTTAACAATAGCTAAATTCAAGTGCAAATGAGATACATTTGCTTTATAGAGAATAATTACAATGACTTTAAACAATGAATTAATCAAGTTAGAATACGTGCGCGCGCGCGTGTGTGTGTGTGTGTGTGTGTGTGTGTGTGTGTGTGTGTGTGTGTGTGTGTATTGTAACACACCTAGCCCTGAGCACTACATAGAGGAAGAGGGGCAGCAGGTCATCCATGCACCACAGGAAGTTGTCTTCCAACATAGGTTTTATTTCCTGGGTCAACTCTTCAAATGTGTTCTTGATGACGAGGAGTTTGTCTGACGGAGTGAACGTGGTGCTGCATGTGAAGGGAGACACACATTGTTATTCATTATGATAAAAGAAGTAAACAATCTTGGTAATTTCTTGCTTTTCAGGGTTACGCGACACAATTTGAATTACAGGGAAGAGTGTATAGAATCAAAACAAGTAACACCTGCTGTATTTAGATAGTGAGCAGGCCAAGAACTTGTAGAAGTTGTGGATCAGACTCCATCTGACATCGTCATGTCATGTCAAATTCAGTGAAATGATTAATCATGTCATGCCATGTCACACAGACGTTACCTGATTTGTTGGAGTGTCTCTATAGCTGAAACAAAGCAGGCATCTTTACTGCTGGACACAATCTATGATAAAAGTAAAGACGATCATTTAGACAGGGCAACACAAAAAGTTCAACCGCAAACTTAAACCTTATGTTGGCATCGTTAGAAAATCTATTACTTGTGTAATATAGTGATAGATGGCTGGAATGACAGCAGGTGAAGGAACTTGTAGTGCAGAGATGAGAAATTATTACTAAAAAAGAAAAAAGTAATTTAAAAAATGAAATCTAACCTGTATTTTCTCTCCCAGAATTGATATCGAGACAGGCCAGAACTTCCTACAGAGGAAAACATTAAAGGAAAAAATGAGGCTTTAAATAAGATCCACATAACACCAATTAGAGACTAAGGGATAAGGATCCTGGACTTAATGCCGGAAATTCAACACGGGGCTGACAGGAAAAATTCCCTTAAAGTCACAGTGAAAAATGTGTTTGTGTTCACACATGCAGATCAACCAACATTTTCAGGAAGTTTTGTGTTCATATGTGAAAACACCACATGTGTGTCTCTGTGCTATAACTGTACACACTCACTTTTGCACACCCAGGAAGCTGAGCAGGGACTGGTCAGGCTGTTTGTTGAGTCTGAGGATGCGCTCCCAGTATCGGGCCTCCTCCTGCTCCTCCTGAAGGGAGTAAAGGGTAAAGAGAGGGGGGTAGAGCTGAGGGAGCAGCAGAGGGAGGAGCAAAGAGGAGCAGCTCACCACCAAAACACCGCTGGAGAAAAAAAGGGAGATGAAGGTTTTATTGAAATACAACCTATGAGTGTGTCCGTGTGTGTTTGTGTGGTTATGTATGGACACTCACCATTGCTCTTCAAAGCTTGAGTTGTGTCTGCTTTCAGATAGAGAGGCAAGGGATCCTGGGATGGCACAGCCGTCAGCAGGTAACCCAGGAAATAAAAACCTGAGGGCAAGTACAATGTGGTTTACTTAACTGATTAAAATGTTATTTTATACACAGAATACATCCACATTTTTATAATTAAACTGTTTATTGCTGTTTTGACTGCAGAAGTGTTGCAGCAGTTGCATGCAGGAGCAACATCATGCCCAGCCTAAGACTTTACAAATCAGATTTTAGATTGACAGAAAACCATAAAATGTACAGTGGGTAAAGGTGGAGAGGGTTGATGGAAAGAGAGGGCAGGACGGCAGCACCACTTCAGTCTATTTCTTCCTAGGATACGAAGGTGTTGACTTACAACATGCTCGTCCTGTATATTTCACAGACAGCTTGTCAGCAGCCAGACAGGTGATACACTTTGAGTTTAAAACTGTCTCTTCTGATTTTGTGGTTTTGTTTTGATCTAATCTATCTGTGTGATGACTTGTTAAAACATCGTACATCTGGATATACCTACACTCATATTGTGTCAAATAGAAAACAGAAAAACAAAATGAAAAGATGCATTACAGGACTTCACTAAGATTATCGTGCTCGATGGAGCAACCCACCACCTCACGTGACCAGACAAACAATGAAGCAGTTAAATTTGCGATTATAATGCTTTGTACAGAGAGGAAAAAACATAAAACAAACAAGTTTTGGGTGAAGAAATGTTCGGAGAGGGGCGCTGGTGGTGCAGTGGTTAGTGCGCGCGCCCCATATATGGAGGCTGTAGACCTCCAAGCGGGCGGCTCAGGTTTGAATCCAGCCTGTGGCTCCTTTCCCGCATGTCATTCCCCACTCTCTCTCTCTGATTTCCATCTCTATCCACTGTCCTATCTCTACATTAAAGGCACAAAAAGCCCAAAAATAAATCTTCTAAAAGAAATAAAAAATGTAAATGTTGAGGGAGACTCGAACAACATGGGCTGTGTATTCTTCAGCAAGAGCTGGATGTCACACTGTAACTGTCATATCATACAGTTGTCCAGTGGGATGCATTCTGCTGCCGGTCACCACTAATTATCACTCACTACTTTCCTTTCTCTCAAGGTTATTTTATAGTCACACACGACTTCTGCCAGACCCTTTCATAACGTAATTGTCAAGATCTTAAATAATAAATATCAAACATGTTTGAAATAAATCGGGGCGTCCCCAACGATCTCAGAGCAGATCGGGGATGTTAAGATTGTATCTATATACGACTCACACTACAAGAATAATCTGGTAAGATAATCGGTTTTGAGCAGCCTTGAGTCGTCAATCCCTGATTGTCGTAGGAATCGTACCTGGTCTGATTATTCTTCAGTCTGAGCCAGACGCCATGCTGCCACAACGCGATAACGCACTGTGAACTCACAGACTAGGAGACTATGTCTATGTCTACTATGACTTGAACACCTACCTCACAATGGCGTAGAAATGTGTAAGGAAGGCCTGAACTTCGTGGACAGCTTGTCTGAGCAGCCTGCGGTTGGAACCCACTCCAATGTAAGTCATCCTAAAAACAGTAACCAACGTCTCCACCAGCCAGCCCAGGGGGTGGTGAGGGGTTTCACATGCCTGCCAAACAAAGATGTGAATATTGAAGCGTTACAGTAAAAACAAATATCACATGAAAGGATCCCAATTACTTTGAAAACAGAACAAGTGATGAACTGCTTTAACTCCACTTGATTAGGGATGTTATTGAGTATAATAAAAATATTGTCAAATCAGACTGCATCAACTGTTAAGTGAGTCCAGGTCATTATCAATCTTTTGTGCATTGTACCTTGAGGAGGTATCTTCGTATGTTGTCATAGTTGGCCATAGTGAACTGTTCTCCATACTGAGGAATAAACTCCAAAGACTCCAATACTTTGCTCTGAGACCTGCTGAGTTTTGGGCTACAAAGACACACACATACATGCACTTAGTGTGGTATGATAGCGTTATATAATGTCCTGTTTGTGTGTGTTTGTATGCTGCTCTGTCTACCTCTGTCTTCGTGCAGTTGATATGGTAACAGCAATGTTCTCCCAGGCTGTAGACCTCTCTCCTCTCCCAGCAGCATCACAGCCGAGCCGACGCCAACATTCATCGAACACGCAGACCCACCGCTGCTCTGCGGCCACCACATACTGACCCAGCCTGCTTCATATGCACACATTTCAACATTTTCAAACTCCAAACCAAGAATAATAATAATAAATAATAATAATACGAGACAATACAAACACACTTCTCTGTTTCTTAGTAAGCCCATAAACCCCAAAATAATTTACACAAGAGAGAGGCACACAGCTGAGGATGTTAAAAAAAATGATTAGACTCAAAGAAATGGGTACCAAAAAAACAGCTTGCTGATGTGGGTGCTGGTTGCTGAACATGAGTGCATCACCATGTTATGTGTGACCAAATTGAACTCACAGCATGCGGCTTCTCTCTCTAGTTTCAGGCTCTTCGTTGGCTGGTTTGGTGTACGTTCCAACCACCTTCAGACCTGTGGTCCACTCTCCACTGAACAGGCCATCCAGGTTGTCACCATTAGCAAGAGATAAAACACCCTAAAGAAGATGATGGGGAGGGTAATGAATGTGTATGAATATATACTTGAAGGATTGTATAAAACGATGATGAACATGGACAAGATACTCATATGAAGAAAAGAATGCTAGAGATGATAAAAAAAAATCACACAAGAAGAGACAAAGATTCATTCTACCTTCCCATTGACAGTCCAGTCATCAGAGAACTCCCCATGGAGAGCTGTGTCATCATCTGACACCAACAGACCTTGGCCCTGATAGAAAAACACAAATGCATCATTAATTGAAACAAACTAAGTCATATTAGGAGGAAGCACTGTCATTGAAGTCATTTTGACCGTCATCTCTTATGTGGGTAACAGAAAAGCAAACAACTCCTCAGTGCTGCTATGCATCAAAGCTATGGCACAAAAAGGTGACTTGATTCACCTTCTGTCATCTAGTTAACTTTAATAGACCTGCCAGAAGTTCAAGAACATTTCAATCTCTGTTGTATACATTCAGTATGAACTTACGCTCATCTTGTTTTCTCTGAAGGTCCCCTCAAAGTAAACACCGTACTGGGTGACCACCACAGCGCTGCCATGCCGCTGCTCGTCCAACCACAGACCCATGTACTTCTCACCTCTGGGAGGAACACATAACAGCAGTGACTCATGACTGTCCTGTCTCTTCTTTGTATATTCACATTCAGTACGGCCAGTTTAACAATGTTGGGATATGTTTGCATAAACACATTTTCAGTTCATTTTAAAGTTGATCATCAAAACAAACTGCTTATTGTTCAATTATTACGGTTCTCTTAAAAGAAAGTGTTCATGCTCAGTCTGGAAAATCTCTGGAAAGAGGTCTTTCAAAAAAACCCTAAACCTCTTTTCTCCCTCTTTCTCCCTCTAGTGCCCCTTGGCACTAGGATGACCCGTTTTAATCCATTCAAAAGCTGCACTCTGTCCTTTGTTAGAAGACATAAAGATGCTGCATTACCCACCCAGGCTCAATGGCCGAGAGACATTGATTAAACTGAGTTCTAGTTCTAGTCTCTGGCTCACACAAAACATTTGAGGAGATGCAGGGACCTTTCTTGGAATACTCTCAGAACCTCCAGTTTACATTAAAGATCCTTTCTTATTGTATAATGTTGCACTGTTTATATTTGTCAATTATACCATGTAGGCCGTTTTTCATTTTCTCTACCCGTCTTCTTTTAATTATATATTTATTGATGAACTTGTTATTGCTGTTTCCTTACTAAATGTTAAAACTGACTTCAAGCACCTTCCTGTTTTACTCAAGAGACAAAGTCATTCATGCAAAGTTTCCAGGTACACTTGATTTGTTTAGAAAATCATAATATAAAACTGTGTTGATATTCCATAACAGTCCTGTTGGAGCTGACTTTCTCCATGTTTATTAGATGAAAATTATAATATTGACCTGAATGTTCTTCACAATTACAGAAAAAAACAACAATACAATTGAGTTTCCATGGTAACAGGCTAGCACAGAAAGCCCTAAAGGAAAGTTCTCAATGAGAGTGAGAACTACAACAAGTACATCTTTTAACATTTTTGAAATATTACGTTAAAATAAATCTTTCTGGTGGTTTAAACACATTTGTGAAACATACCTTGTGATGTCATCATAGACGCCATAGCCTGTCTTCTTGCCGTGGAGCCACTGGCCAATAAAAACGCCCGAAGACGTCTTGCTCAGCCTCCCCGAATTCAGCATCCCGTAACCGTGTCGCTGCCCTTCACAGAAACAGCCCTCATACACTTCACCACTGGCGTACCTGGGAAGTCCCCACAGAGAAGTGGCCTCAAACAGTATTCATGTTCATCATCAAATCATTCAGGCTTTATTTATAGACTACAGGCAAATACGATCTGTATCTCAAACAGATCTGAGCACAAGAATACACACAGTGTTACTTTGTGATTATCAAATGAAATTGCTGCCATGATGCATTTAATTACTCTGAATTTAAGATTGTTATGCATTTTAAATCTCATTAAAATGTCTCGTGGGTTGGAATTACAAAAGTCAATATTCACGTGTTTAAACACTTTCTTCATGCCATCTGAATGCTATTTAAGCACTTAAAAAAAGAAGACTTAAATTTGAAGTTTGGGCAAATGAAAACACTGACAGGGTTGTGAGTGTATTTCCCCACATGCCACTCAATGATAACTTCACACTGAGATTTTTGATATAGTACTCCATCCCCAGTTTTAGTCAAGTGTTGCTCAAGTGTTGCTGAGATTAAATCACTTCAGACTTCAAATATCCTTTACATGTTTACCTTGGTGTAAAGAAATGTTGAAGATGAACATGACCTCAGTGACTCTGAAATGTTATGTTTTACACCAGTTATTTGAAACCCTCTTCTTGACTTCACTGTTATGAAAAAGCAGTATACTGACTTGTACTTGCCGAAGCCATGGATCTTGCCATCTTTCCAGTTTCCTTGGTAGATGTCTGGCTTATTCAGCACTTTGTTGGGTATAATATAATGTCCAAAGCTTTAAAAAAAAAAAAAAAAAAGTACTTCAATGTTTCAACAAAAAGTTTAATCTTACCTGGTAAATCACAATGGCACTAGCTTAAAATGTGACCATCTGGTTTCACTGTTTACGTTCAATGCTGCCAGGACTGAGAGGCCACAACTGTTTTCAGATTGAACTTTCAAATATTTAAACATGTTCTCTTGATCACAGGTCTCCCTAAGGGGGACACAGAGATGTTTCATATTTGGAAAGTACCGGTACTTACCCATCCTCTTGTCCATTCTTGAAGTTCCCACTATAGACCCGTCCATCTGGCCACTTCATGGTACCTCTGTAAAGGCAAATGTCTTTTACAATGAAGCTATTTGAACTGAACCAATTTTACACTAAAGTGGTTGTTAATTAGACAGTACCATGTCGGGTCAACTTGAATCTTAATGCTTATAAAGTCTGAATTGAATAATGTTGGAAATTGCTTGCTCACATCCAGGCTGAACTCATTTACTTGTACACTGTCCCTCTTTGTCCCACAGGCTCCAGTGAGTTGAGCTCCTTTGGTAGGTCTGAAGTCTGTCTAATTTTTTGTTGTTGTCCTATTTGAAAAACTGTACTGGTGTTATAATTGTTGGATACCTAAGGTAGAAGCTGAAAATACTTGTCATGGTACACTGAAGAACACTCAGATGTCCAGGAGAACACACAACACTACTAACACACACACACACACACACACAAATGTTCTTTGTTAAACACATGTCGTAGCAGCACACATGAAAATGAAGCAGGCACACACACACACAAAAGAAGAAGCACAAACTTGCGCTCTAACCTTCCATGCACTCGTCCTGCCAGCCAGGCCCCGGTATACTGAGCATCTTTAAACCATCCCTCTCCAGTGAACACGTAGGAGGCCGTACGAGACATTGCTGTCAACCCTGGTGATGACCCCTGACCTCCACCGCCTACCACCTGATCCATCGCCTGGTTCAGAGATCGCAGCCACTTGTTCTGAAGAGAGAGAGAGAGATATAAAAAGAGAGGGAGAGAGAGACACACACACAGAGAGACAGAAAGAGAGATAACAAGTGAGCATTTTTTAAGAAAAAATGGCAACGTGGGAAAGAAACTATGGTTCAAATATATCAAGAAAATAAATAAATCGGTGTTGATTAATTGGTGTGTAAGCATATGCTGAGAGGAAGACAGTCTATCAATATAAATGTCTTTTTAAATGTATTTATTTTTTTAATGGAAGAACAGCTAGGTGTGAAATAAAAACATTTTTTTAATTTTTTTATCCACTTTACTCAAAGAGAATACATTCGTTGGCATTTCTGGGAACGTTTTTTTTAGTGCCAGTTAGGTGGATAGTAAGGGCTGTTGTTTATTTTATTCCTGCAGCTGATGCCATAAGACAGAAATAAAAAGTTGTAGCTTATATTGTTCATCAATCAGATTCGTTCCACTCTTTCAATGAAACATCAAGATAGAGTCAATAACTCTTTCATAAAAAACTAAATCTGGACTTACACAAAAGTAATGCTGCTCAGTCATCACTTCTGGGCCTCCATACTCTGTTTGCATTTTGATCAAATTTGATGTTTTGGTTGACTCAGAACGTTTCTGTGCAGGGAGGGATTGAGTTTCCTCCAGCCAATGACAGCATGCTGGTGAGTTTGGGAGTGCAGATACATCTCAGCGATTGGGAGCCTTTTAAACTGGCAAACATTGTGGACGGACCGGCCAAAATAGCGACGCGGATAAAATAAATAAGTGTTCCAAAATGAAGGTGAACCTAGGGTTGACTCTTACCCGTGGACGAAGAGTTAGCCTGCTTTCTGTTAGACAGACTGGTGCCAAACACCATCAGTGAGCTTGTGCTTGATTGCTAAATAATCCGCTTTTCCATTTCAACAAATGTAATACTCTCAGGTAGGCTCAATCCGAATTTTTCATCTACAAGCTGTTAAGAACATGGCCCCTGACTCTGGTCCCCAATAATACAAAGACTTTGTCAACTTTAAGTCAGAAACACCATGATTGATCACAATATTTCATCAAGTAAGCTTGTATTCTTTTCTCAAGTTGAAGCTTCAGCTTAAGCCTCAAGCTAAGTAAAGTGGGTGATAAATGTATGAATAATAAATGTACCTTCTCCTGAGGTGTCGAGGCTACCAGGGTGAAACTCTCCTCTGGACATGTGATTTTGATCGCATAGCTGTAGACACAAACACAACAATAAACTTTACCTGAATGAAATCTACCATACTTTCACCAATCAATCAATCAATCTTTATTTGTAGAGCACCTCTACTTTATTATATTATTTACAAATTTACAAATAACAATTCAGTCTTTTAAAAGTGCTACAATCACAGGAACAAGGTAGCAGTTCTGTTGAGATAAATGTGTGTGCTTATAATAGATTATTTTGATTTGGAAACTGTCTTAAAATCCTTCTTTTAAAAAAAATAAAAATCATATAAAAGATCTTATTGTAAGATGTTATTATTATTATTATTATTATTATTAAAAGAGTGGGTTGGCCAAGTTTACACTGATGTTATGTTTGCTGTTTTCTTCATCCACCTCAACTAAAAAACAACGACCTGATGTGGATATTCTGAGTGTTTGTATCAAAAGCCAGGACTCTAACATCTCCCTACATACTTGTATGTTACATGTTACATTACTGCAAACATGAGTGAGATGTCTTGTCTTATTAATATTATTATTGTCAATAACATTAATGGCTCACTGATTTTACAGTCACATCCACATGTTTTCACTAGTCACACTACTTTTGTCATTCAGTTTGGATTGGACAAAGCAACACACTCACAGTCCACTGCTGTCGTCTGTGACCGGTTTCACCCACAGACAGGTCAGAGGATAGACGTGATGTGTGGAGAACTGCAGATAAAAGGCAGATCAAAAGATTGTGTATTTTATCAAGACATCTCTGCATGCACAGCACAGTCATACCTCTCACTTTAGATAGAATCAAACTTTCTGAGATGAACGTGAGCAGACAAGAGATTTAAAAAAGGACCTTTTGATAGTCACTATAGTTTCATCCTACTTCTGTTCACAACACATTTTATGTTTTATTTAGTGTAAGAGACATGCAGAGTGCAAGATTAACAATTAGCCAGGAGTCTCGTCATGCAGAACACAGTGAATAAACCCAAAACCAAAAGAGAGGAAAAGTTTAATCACTCTCTGTGATAACACACCACACCAAACAGGGGAAGACAAACTATATGACTGGTGGGAAACATGTTAACACTAAAATAAACACAAACTAGAGGACAGAGAAAGAGACATATTTGTTCTGCTTTAGGAATAACAGAGTTGTCAAAGAGCTGGCAATGTTTCCTTTGGATCAGATGCTTCTGAAAGCCAGGATGTAGCGGTGAGTTGCAGCCCTTCACAAGCATCTTTTAGGCTCCAAGCTACTGCCTCTATAACCTCGTCTAGTTGTACCACTGACACATCTAAACCGATACCCACATACACTGCATCCTGTTTGTAGCAGAATAAGCCACCAGGACAACATGAAAACATTTTTTTAACACAGGACAACATTAATGTTAACATAAAATCAATTTTACACCTGAACACTTAAACAACTTACTAGATCATACTAACCTATATAAATATAAATCTGTGTATGTGTGTGTGTGTGTACTACATGTTTTAACCAGCAGAGGGCTCTATCTGCTTTTGACTTCTCTTTGGCTTCTCCTTATGTGAAACACTAAAAATATTAATAACACATGCTTGCACCTAAACATGCATTGGTGTTTTAAGGGTTTGAGCTGATGATTCACATATTTACAGCCAGTTTTAATGATCCAACTTTTCAAAAATGTGAATTAAAGAGTATATAAGTTACAAAAACTTGAGAAGATATGGTGTCTTTTAAAAGCTTTCTGCTCTTCAATGCCAGAAACACAGGATCCAACACTGTTTATTTAGAGTTGTGCCACATACAGTATGCATTTATTTGATTTAGGGTTCAAATTCTTCTTAAAAAAAGAGTGTCAGTGTCACTTTATATAAAGACAAAAATGCATTTTTATTAGTAACTATAAAACTTAAAAATTCAAAAGTATTTATTTTATTCATAAAGATGAATAATGAACAGTTATGTGCCTTTCTCATGTCTATATAAACATTAGAAATGTATGAATAATTCTGATCATATCAAGTCAACCCATTATCAGAATAAGTATCATACTGTGAGTTGAGTGCTATCCTACCTGGCAGACAGTTTCCCTGAGCTTGGATTTCTCAGGGAAACAGAAACCTTTAACAACCCTTTAAAAATAAAGTCCTGTGTTAAAATATATTTTTTACATGTTTTGTCATTGAAAACGTATCTGTAATAAAAGATAGACCCTGAATGCTGCTGCAGTGCAAAGCTCAGTGCAGTTCAACAGGTTGGCAGGTTGGAGAGGGAATAAGGTAACTAATGTCTGGTATACTCACAAGGCTCTGTGAGGGAATGGCACCCTGGATGATTGAAAGACACATTGAATACAAACTTTATCTGCAAATATGGAAGACTTCTAGTAGCAGCAGGAAGACAGAGCTGAACACAAAAACCCTGTGGAAGCTTTGTCTGGTATTAAGACAGAACAATTACCTGTCTTTTGTATTTGAAAAAAGACTTCTGTCGAGATTCTCATGGAATTCTATTACTTATAAATCAAACATATCATTTTGCCTAAAGTGCACAGCTAATGAGGTCGTCTGCATTTGTTTACCTGTGTGTGCACCAGAGCGTCATTGAACAGCATGAACCAGTGGTTAGAGAACCGCCCAGCATTCTGCAGAGTCAGGGATCTGTTGCTGCTCTCACACACCACACGACGTTTTGGGAGACGCAGAACCTCCTGATGAATAAATATATACATTATGTTTAAAAAACAATGCAAGTTCTGAACTGCTTACAAAACACAATATTATTAAAGAGCTGCCAGATAAGTGTAATATAGACAATGTAAGCTTCATGAAATATTACAATGACTAAAACATAGACAGGAATGAGTCATACCTCGGCCTCTACTTCACCTAGACAACAGTGGAAGAGACCACAGCGTGTGTAGCGTGTATCTAAGTGTAAGCTCCTGGCAGCAATCACTTCTACGTCTTATACTTAAGTTGCAATTCTTACATTTTTTAAGAATATTTTTTAAATAAATTCTAACCATAAGGGGTGTTTGTTGACAAAGGACATGTCTGATAGTGTGTCATAATGTGTATGAATGTATGTTTAAGCATTTATGCTTATGGTGGAGAGGTTGGAGGGGCCGAAGGAGCTGGGGTTCGAACCCCTGACCTTCTAGCTGAGAGACGACTGACTCTAGCTGCCACAATACGGGGATTGAATGTTTTGCAAATCATTAAAAAAAAAAAAAAATTATATTTTACACTATGTCCTAATTTTTTAAATTAGGGGTTGTTTTTTTTCTCTGAATTGACAATCAGCCCATTGTTATATAAGGCCTCAGCTAGCAGGTAACCAGATGACTTGCTGGCTGAAGCCTGGTCATGAAGCAGGTGTTTACACACGTCCCTGTCCAGGGCAAACAGCTCTCCTTGAGAAATGAATGTCTGATCTTAAAGGAGCACATAGACATTCATGTTTAGTAAATTTATGTTTTCCTATATCCTCTGATCAGGAACGCTGTCATCCCTGGGTGGTGAAATACACCATGTATGTCACAAACACAGTAACCTAACTAAAACTCTTCCAGCTGTTTCTCATCTACACAGTTGAGTGGTAGCTTGTTAAAATAAGTCAAGACAGAGTCGTGCTCACAGTAGTTTTTCCTGGATGGCTCTTCCAGAAGAGGAGGGTGACTTCAGCCTCTTTTTTCCTCCGGGTCAGTGACAAAGACAGGGATTCATACTGACTACAGCCCTGATGGAGGGACTGATACTCAACAGTTAACTGCAGGAGAGGAAGCAAAGGTGAGAAATGGTTCAGCTGTTCATTTTTAATACTAGAACAAATGTTGATCACCTTACCAGTTCAACACAGCCATTATACTCAAATACATTGTCAAAAGTATCAACAAAAGTACTTTTGAAAAAGTACCAAAGCCTAAAAAGGACAAAATTCAGAATTACCCCAGCTAGGACGGGAGGGTGAAGAGAAAGAGTGACAACATCAAACATGTAGCAGAGATATGTCCTCTTTAAATTAAATGTATTTTTAATGCTAAATGTTTCATATCAATAGGTTTGTTTTCTCTAGTTTTAGGGTTTTTTTTAAATATGATGTAATATATAAGATACTTATATTTAAAAACCTGGTTATGCCATATTGCTATCAAGCTGCTATCAAGAAACATGTCGTGAAAAATGCAGCCTAATACTCAAGCCAACACAAAAACAGAAATATGTTGAAACATATCCAAATTGAGTCAACCATGTGAAACAAAAAACAATCAAAAACAGAGAAGGAACATCAAAAGAGTGTTCAAGGGGAAAATAGAGAAAGACGCACAATGACACAGGAGAGAGTTTAGCCTCACCACATCATAACAAGCTGCCAGTTTGAGCAGAACTCGGTTGTAGTGGTGGAGCTGCTGCAGAGGCCAGTATAACAGTGAAACCAGATCAACATCCCCGCTGACGGACTGGTCTGATACACACAGCTGAGCCAGCATGGTCTGCTGAGAGCCTAAACACTCACTGAACAGAAACAAACACAGTTTGTTTGGATTTTTGTCATCCAAATCTTCTTTTCAATCGGCAATCGTTCGATTTTTTTCTTCTGCTGAACATGATGTGATACACTGCTGCTCCAGCCCCTTACACTAGCACTTGTTAATGTCTCATTCATGTACATTGTTAGGATAAAACCAAGTTAGGTATTTAAGTTCTTGCTGTTTTTGCTTTATTTCCATTGTTAACAGTTTGCACCAAAACACCAAGTCAAATTCCCTGTATGTGTAAATGCACTTGGCAATAAAAAACTATTCTGATTCTGATTCTAAGGTAGGCCAACACCTTAAAGGAAGAATATCAGATTTTTCACACTTAAATGTAGCAGAAATCAAGTATATCCTCTGAAAATAACTCTGTGAGTCATGACTGTCTACAATGAGTGTGACACCCGAGTCCCACTGTCTGTGATGCTTTCTGAGCCGTAGCTACACTTCGTTTACATCGCCGGGACGGCCGGCTCATCCCCTTGCGTATAAAAGTTGTTTAATTGAGGGACTAGAGAAAAGAAGAATCTACTGGATCAAAAAGTCGCATATTCTTCCTTTTAGTGAAACATAAACGAAAAATAATCAAGCTTACCGAGAGAGTTTTTGTAGTGAGTGGAATCCACCCATCACCTGGAAGTCCCCGACTGAAGAACAGTACCTGAAGGCACAACAAAAAAGAGTTATAATGAGTAGTCATTTCAAATCGCCAACTGTATGCACCGTTAAAACTGAATTATTAATTTTTTTCTGATTCAATTTTATTTGCCACCTTTGTTGTTTTGAGTCATGACACCATGTAACAGATATTCATGGCAATAAAACCAAATTCTGGATTTGGTTAATAAATACAAATTGTACACAGAAATGTGATGCTGTGGAGTACAGATACAGCAGGCTATGAGGAATAAAATAACTGGTAATTAAACAAACTTTATATGGAACTGTAAACTGCTAGAGTAAATCAATAATATATTGAACCTTTGAAACAGTTTGTGTTGTATGAGAGAATTGTAGTTTCTGTGAGAAAAATTGTGAGATAATTTAAGGAGAATTAAAGTGAACACAGTGAAGAATAAAGAAAAACAGACAAAGGGTCTATAGGCATACTAAAGAGGTCAACAAAAAAAAGTAAAAAAAACCTAATTAAGTGAAAGTGTTATAGTTGCAATTAATAAAACACAAAAATATATGGGTATAAAAAACAAAAGTGAACTTACTCTTTATAAATGTCCACAAAGTGCTCGGTGTGTGTCAGCAGAAGAAGAGAAGTGACATCCTGTCTTTGCACATTATGTAGGAAGTAGCTGAGTGATGTTGAATGGCGGGCGATCAGGACGCTCAGACGAATGAAACTCTCACAGAGAGAGAAGAAGAGATGAGTGCATGGCTCACTTAGCGATGGAATGACACTCTCTGTGGAGGGAGAGTGCACAAACATTCACTTTAACAGCACTAATAAGTTGATGAAATCATGCCTATACATCATTTTATTTACATTAAAGATAAAAAATATTCAAACTCTTATATTCAAAACCACTGCTGAACAACCGCTGAGGTGGTGAAGCAGAGTTGACACGGTCATATATTTGGGGAAAGGAGCCAGTTAGAAAAGCTCTGACCTCTGTTGCGTAGTGGTGTGAGGAGGAGCTTCCTGGTGTTGCTCAACCAGCAGAAGAACTGTCTCTCTCTGGAGGCTAGCTCATGGATGGCTGAAATAAAACCCATCACGTTCTGGTCTGCCAACGCTGCACAGCTTGGACCACCACAACACACACTGCCAATGTAACCCATCTATAAACACAGACATACCCAAAAGAAAGAGGTTAAGGGTATGTGTTATTTAGTCTAAGTTAGTCATACAACGACTATATAGGAATGTTAGTTCTCTTTCAGTCCAGCATGTTTTACTTTTTCCTCGTTGCTCTTAATGTTTTTTGATATTTCGTTGCTTAACTTGATTTTCACTCTTTGTATGTCAACCCAATTAAAAAGAGTTAGCTGAAATGGACTGCTGCATGTATGTGCTATCTGATCTCAGATATCTATTGACGACACAGATGTAACTATTTAAGCATACCATAGAGCAATATGTAAAAGTCAATATCCTCCAGTGTTGCTCCACCCATCTAACTCACTGACTGTTCTGATTAAAATGACAAACCTCCATGCAAAAGGGCAACAGGGTGGGTCTGACGGTGTAATTCTCTGCCTTGTTGGGTGACCTCTGGCATGACCTTTGACCTTTGTGGGACATCTCCTGCTGCACTGAGAGAAGCTGCTGACCGCAGTACAACAGGACAGGCTGGACACAGTCTCCATCAGCCAAGAGGAGGGAGTGACTCTGACCAGCTGATATGTCCCAAACTCGAAGACCATCAGACAGCTACAGTTGGCGGGTTGGGACAAAACACATTACGCCATTAGGACATTTACAGGCATTAGTGTAATCTGAAATAATACATGAAATACAACAGACATTAAGGACATTAAGATATAAATCAAGAAAACCCCTAACATTGCAATATGGTGAATTGTTTGCACTAATGACTGAAAAAAAAACAAATAAGAGTCAAGAATGACTTATTCTGTACCTTAGTGAGTTGAGGAACAGTGACAGGACTGTTGACATGACCGAGCTGTCCACACATGTTGCTGCCCCATGAGTACACCTGCAAAATACAAGATTATGGTTAAGACAAGGCCTTTGAGCATGTGCCTGTGTGTGTTCTGTGTCTGTTACCTGACAGTGAGCAGTGAGAGCCAAGGAATGGTGTGAGCCAGCAGCCACTTTGATTACCTCCTCACCAATCATAGACTTGACACATAAAGGCTGGAGTCTAAACACAAAAGCACAAGCACACACACACAAGCTCATTTTAGATGTATCTGTCAACTTAGTAATAGTAATTGATTCTTAAAATATTTACAGTTAAGCAATGGGATTTTAACCACAATACCTTCTTGATTAAAAAAATACAATTTTAATTAGATGTCAAATCTAATGTTTTGAGTTAATTTTGAGGAAATTGATGTAACTTTTGCTATTATTGTAAAAGAGTTTTTTGCGTGTTTATGAGGCCAGACCTGGCAAGTTGATCTCCGTGGCCCAGTTGCCCCTCAGACCCGCGGCCCCAGCTCCACACTTCAGTCTCCAGAGATGGAAGCCCGTCTCCAGCATCCTCCGGAGCTGCAGCCTGGCACCGACAAACAGAGGATGGTATGCAGGCACAAGGCCTGTGTCGTCTTGGAGACCCTTAAAGAAAAATCATGTCACCTTATGATTAACCCCAGATAACAGTTCTGTCAATAAACTGAACAATCACCTGTAATTACATGCATATTGAAAAGTGTAAATAAGCATCATCTATAATATGAACAACAGCCAACAGAGACTACAAATAACAGAGTAGCTGCCGGCAGAGAGCTGTGTGAGTCTGACAAGGTGAGGTGAGCAGGCACGGAATAGAAAATACGTACATGTTACCTCCTGTCAAATAGTTTAATACTATCTCAAAAGGAATGTTATTATCTCAAGATAAGCATGACAGGCCTGTCACGTGTGATCTTGACTTTTATAACATTTGAATTTGAGCTGATAAGATAAAGCTTTGGAGAACACATGGTCAGTGTGCCAAACTAGGTGACAAACAGAGGCTGAGCTATCGGTTGCTTCTGTTTGAGATAACATTTATACTCTTCTTTCCTGTAGGTCAGGCTGCAACTTCACAGAGGAACGCAATTTAGTGATTCTGCAGATTTTGATAATGACTGGTACCAAGTGACGGATGCACGTTTCAGTCTTTGGGGTCACAGTTAGCATGTTGGACAACATAACTCATTTTGTTTAGGCAGCTGCGTAGCCCGCTAAAACCTCCATAGTAGTATGACGTCAATATTAGGCGAGTATTTAATAAACATTAGGTGTTGCTGTCCTCTCCATTTGACCTGTTTGCCTGTTGTTGCTGTGGTTTCCTGTACTCTGCTGAGAGCTTCACATTTAAGGAGTAATAATTATTGTGGGAAATGCAATAAGTTTGCTTTAAAGCAAAGATTAAGATAATAATTAAATCATCATTATGTACCTTTGCCCTTAATATAAAGATGTGGCCAACAGCCTTACTAAAACTAGAGGGACAAAGGTAGCCTGGCTCTGTCCAAAGAATGAAAGGCTAGCTACAGCATATATGCTTTAAAGATTTTGCGCAAAATACTTAGTATAGTTGTAGTAGTAGTATATAGTAGTTAAGCTGATAACCTCCTTAATACTTTGGGCTCATATATCAATATTCCAATCTTGTCCTGGCAAGAGAGAAAATTTGCTGAAAGTTCTGTCCACTTGTTCACACACGACCATTCCTACCACGAGTGGGTATTCCAGGCAGGGAGCGTCTTCTGCTTGCAGCCTTCCCCTTCTGATTGATATTCGTGAGACTTGAGCTCTTCTGCCCCTGCAGTCCCTGCTTCTCTCCAGCAAGAAAAAGGCGAACTTCTTCCAAACACACTGGTGAGGAGGAGTACGGTATGGAACTGCTGCTGTAGGATTTGAGATCAGAGACGCAGATACACTGTGGGTGAGAATCATCTTGGTGTGTGGATTGTGCATCTCCATTCTTCAAATACCTCCAATAACATTCTTCCTTTACACCATGATTGAGCATAATGTGATGGGAAATAACTTAAATAACATTGGGATCATGACAACAATAGCAGGGATAATGTTCTTTCAAATATTTGAGCAGCAACTTTGACCTTTCTTTAATTACTTTTGGGCCTTTTTTCCTTTATTATATTTAACAGCTGAAGAGAGACAGAAAATGTTGGGATGAGAGAGAGTGGGGGGATAACATGCAGCAAAGGGCAGAGATCGATTTGAATCAACGGCCGCTGTGAGCCTCCGTACATGGGGCACTTGACATAACCGCTATGGTCTCTGGAGCCCCTACATTTAATACACTTGATTAATCCAGAGGGGATTGAACTTTCACTCTGTTATTGTGAGACCAGCTCGGGGGCTGCACAGGGACTGGTGACCTGAGCGAATGAAGATTCAGTGCCTTTTTCAAGGATACCTACTACCTCTGCAGGACTCAGTTAATAGACTGCCACCTCTCCAGCAAGCAGTCCCAAATTTCCCACTTGGCCAATACCAGGATCTGAACCGACTACCCACCAGTTCCCTACCCAAGTCCTTACAGACTGAGCTGCTGCTGCCCCATGTTTCTCTACAACACTGATTAATTGCACTAGCTAACATTCTGGACCCAATAAGGTACTTAAATGATAGTCAATCCAAAAGTCCTACCTGTTGGTTTGGCTTTTAACTTGTAGGTCTTCTTTGAAACTGGAAGTCAATAGATCAGTGGATGGAGTTGAAGAAACACAGCTGTCATCTGGAGAGAATAATGGGGGAGGGGGAGGAGGGGGAGGATAAGAATTAAAAAAACAAAGTATAAGAATAAAATATAAAGCAGGCAAAGCAAGCTCAGAGAAGTCACAAATAGCAGCAAACAAAAACATTACTATAAATACAATTAACATGTCTGAATTTCTAACCTGAAGTGTAACTGCTCAGTGAGTCGGTGTCTCCTGGCCCTGTAATGTGGTCCCATGAGTAACTTGAGTTTTTCTGGAGCTCCATTCCTTCAAGGAGAGAGGTGTCCTTATTCCCGCTCCAGACTGGCAGGGAGCTAGACAAGCGGCTGCCGTCTACTTCAGTGAGAGGGTCAAAGTGCTCATGGGGCTTAAGCTGGCTGTAAGGGCTACTGCTAGCTGTCCTTGCACCATGTTGAGGCTTAAGTCTGGGGCTGCTTCTCCTTGGAGGGGTCTAGAATTGCAAACCAGAAGGGGTGTCAACACACAACAAAGACTATCAAATTGGCAAATATATTTCTAGAGAGCAACAATATGACGGCTGAAAAGCTAATGAGCTAATAGATCAAAGACATGACTCCCTCATGCTTTCTACAGCTTATCGGAAATGTTGTATCCTCTGGTAGGACATGGCACTGTGGACACCCTAACACACATTTTTTTTTTCCCTTCTTTATGTTATTTTTGGACTTTGCTCACCTCGCCTGACAGCTCCACCCCCAGGGGACAGTAGTGACTAGTGTCAGCTGCCAATAACTCGTCCCTCTCTGTCACAAAGGACTGAGTTGACTGGCCCTGCTCCCCTTTCTCAGGATTCAGGGTGTTGTAGTTCTTTGGAGTTAAACTACGAACCAGGGCCAGGCTGTGGTATGCTCCACAAGCCACCTGTGAGATATGAGACATGATATGAGTTTTTCTGGAAACAGAACTAAGTATTTTTGGTTATTTTTGATAAGAAGTCAAGGTATCTTAAAAGGTAAACTACCTGAAGTACATGTCTGCCTGCCAAGTGCTCCACCTATGTAATAGCATAAATATGATTAGTGACTCCATATGTACAGATTTGACAAGTGCAAAACAGAAAATTCACCCTCTTTGTGATGTTCTAATTCAAAAAACATTCATTCAAAATGGTTTTATTCACAAAAGAAAAAGACAGCCCTAATACCCATGCACACAGCATTCATACACTAATGCTGTCAAACTATTAGAATACTAATCGCAACTCATCTCTAAATTATTGCAATTTTGTACTGCCTTAAGCTGAGAGTACTTTACTTGCTGTTTGAATTCAAACCTGCTTTTAAAGGAAACATCAACATGTGACTGCAGGAGCTAGGAAACAAACCCCTGACCTTCCTGTTGAGAGTCAACTGACTATACCACTGAACTACAGCTGTAAGGGGTCTATATAGGTCACGCAGGGTTACCAGATATTCAAAAAAGATTTTTCTTCATTTCTTGGAGCGTGATTTCCAATAACCATTTAGGTATGAGAAGACGGGAATTCATTCACAAAGTAATAGTCAAGTTTGTGAGGTTCCCCAATAAGCAGATTTATGGATCCAGTTGGAAGTTAAAACCCACTAGTTTTCATTACATCACAGAAGTCAGGCGAGAAAACTCACCTTCTGTGGTTTCCATACAGGGAAAGTACTGGTGACCAGGCCAAGCTGGCAGCCACTTCCCCACGCCCACAGCTCATTCTGAGCTGACAGAGCAAGACTGTGCTCCCGTCCAAAGGCCAGATCCACCACCTTAACCACAGCTGGAGGAATGACCTCACTATCCACCACAGGGACATGGCAAGGCTCTGAAACTGATACAAGATACAAGAATAAAAGAAGGGATTGATGCTCTAAGCAAAGAATAATAGTCATATGTTGGTGGGATGGAGAGAAAAACAGAGGGCGAATAAGAATAAAAGAAGGGCGAGGAGTAAGGCTGTAGCAGTGAAGGGGTGATTCGGGTGGCTTAATAGGAATTGTCACACCACATCCTTTTTTTATTGAGCAAATCTATTGGTCAGTGTTAGAAAACTGGCAGCCCCTGTCCCCCAACAATAAGATAGTTTTGATTGTGACTTTCATTTATTTTAATGATTTCTTAACAGCAACTCCAAGACAATCAGTGACAGACACAACAACAGTAACAGTTTGCGAGCAGCACAATAGTGTTTTTTAAAAACCTTCACAATACAGTATGGCTACAGAATATATTATGTTACGAGAGAGAGAGAGAGAGAGAGAGAGAGAGAGAGAGAGAGAGAGAGAGAGAGAGAGAGAGAGAGAGAGAGAGAGAGAGAGAGAGAGAGAGCTGACAAGCTGCACAGACATTGACAATGTCCAGACTTCACTGAGCACACAGATTTGTAAACTGTGTGCACAGATTTCCAGTACAAATCTGTGCCCACAGTTTACAAAATGGTCCTCTCAGATTGGAGTTTCATGTTCACGGAAGACTTGTGTAAATCAGTGTAGTGATGAAAGATACAACAGAAAACTCAAAGTACTTGGTCTCCGATTCTTGGATTTTCAAACAGAGTTATATTTTTTTCTTCTAGGCCACTAGCCACACAACAAAACTCCTGTTTTAAAGTTTCCCTTGTGACTCCGTTATCACAACCTCGTGTGGGTTAGGGTTAGGCTTGTTATCAAGACGCAGCGAAAACAAGAGAGAAAAATCCCATCAGCATCAGATAGAGAAAGAGAGAGAGAGAGAGAGAGAAAGATGGGAGATCCCAGTTTTCATATTAAGTACTAAGCGTGTTATGTATTCTGTAGCCAAATCGTCCTGTGCAGTTTAAAAATAATAAACACTGTCTTATACTTTTTTTGAAGGCGAAAGGCTAAAGAGGAGGTGATTCTGGTGATATCTGTTGCTGTCGTGACGGTGCTTTGATTCAGCACATGGCGTTGCCAACTGTTTCAAGAACTGGCCGCAAACTGTTCCATGGTGAAAATATTTGTGTTTGTCGCTGATTGTCATGGCATTGTTGTTTTAAAAAAAAACAATTAAATAATTAAAAGTCACAATTAAAATAATCTTGTGGGTCAGATACGATTTGCGTAATTGAGAGCTCAAATTTAATATGTTTCCAGGGGACTTGTTAATGCATATTTTATAAATTGCCTCATCTAACAAAGCTGATTCTCATTTTTCATTTGGCTGCAAGCTGAAACGTTCCCAAAGGGGTGAAGTCTTAGTTTCCGTATACATGAGGTGGAGTGAGGCAATACTATCCAGCTGCAGCCCCCGAGTAGAAGCCCCTGGTGTGAAAAAAGTCCCTGGCTTGACATAAGAACCTGACCTGACAATCATGACTTACTGTACTGATTAGAAACGTCAAGGATAATACATACTGAAAATCAGAAGTAGAAGAAGGTAATTCATTTTTGCGACAGCTTTAGTGAGGAGATTTGAAGTTAACCAACCTGTGATGTTTGATGTGTTCTCTGATGCTGCACAACTCTTAGTCAGGCCACACTGTCCTGCAGTGTTCTCCCCCCACATATAGATGTTGCCCTGGTCACTTAAGGCTCCGCAATGGAAGCCACCAGCAGCCACACGGACCATTGTCTTTCCCAGCAATGAGACCTCCAGCACAGGAGCAGTCACTGGTACACTTAGATCCCTCCAAAACAGCTCACCAAAAGAATACACCAGACCACCTGCTAGACAGCAACGACTGAGTAACAGCACACATTGCTTTGTGTAACAAGGACTTTAAATCTTAAAAAAAAAAAAGCTTTCAAGAATCAAAAGGAGAAATAAAACTTTAGACAATTGAACAGACTTTGCATACATTTTGTTTACTTTAGCATTTGAATACCACCGTGATAATAAACTAACTTAAATAACTCCTGTTGGCACTGAAGAGCTTTTATATACTACTCACCTTGTGTAAGCAGGAGTCCATGATGTTCTCCAAGGGCAGCCTGCAGGACAGGCCTGGATAGAAGCACTCTCTCTGGACACAGCTGCAGAGCGGGGCCCGCTGACTGCCAGATGTAGAGAATTCCTCGCTCTTGCAGTGTCTGGGCCTGCTCTTCCACAGGGCTGACATTAAAAAAAACACACATCTATTGCTATCTTCTCTGGTTTGAACCTTATATTAAGATGTTACAAGTTCTTCACCTGCCAAGTTTCTCTCCAAACCCAAAAGAGTAGAAAAAAACCTGGCAAAAATGATCTTGTTGTTTTAGTTTAGCTTTGGTGGCATATGTTCTTTGAAAATTAAATCCCAACTCATTCATCCATCAACCAATAAATGTTTGCACAGCACCTGCAGGCCCTGACTTGCAGTTATGTTTCCAGGGAGGAGAGAAATGGCGGCAAATGGCTGAGCAGAAACTGTCTACAAAACACTCCCACTACTGAGCTGGACACATCCTAACGAGCTGCAAAGCAGAGGTACAACACTCAAAAGCCACGCTTACTATTTGCCAAGGTTAATGCAAAGGCCTCTGGAAACGTTAGCCATCTTATAGGGAAGCAGGTTATCCAATATGTAATATCCAGAAAATCTGTTTAACTTGAGTGTCAAATTCCAAATATTAAGAAAAAAACTTAAAGGTCACATATTATTCTAATTTTCAACCAGTCTAAATAGGTCCCAGAGCTTCCAAGACATGTCTGTGAAGTGTCTTGCTAAAACTCCACTCTGATTCTGTATTTTATAATGCCTTTAAAGCTCTCTATTTGTAGCCCTGCTCAGAACAGGCTGTTTCTGTGTCTGTAGCTTTAAATGCAGGTTAGCTGTGTTAGACCACGCCCCCTCTCTGGAAGGGTTCGGGCTTTCTTGCTTCATGCCCAATAGTCTATGGTGAGAAGGCAGACACAGAGGGCAGAACAAACACCTAGCTGTGGGAGTGTCCGCCACTTGGGGGAGGGGTTACTGCCCTTTGTGATGTCATGAAGGGAAAATCTCCAAACTGCCTGTTTGAGGACACATTTTCTGAAAAGTGGGACTGAGAGACTGAAGTTCTCTCATGACTGGGGGGGTTTGTAGACAGACTAGAGAGAGACCAACTATTTTTTTTAACATATCCGTATAAAACTTGCTTTGCCAAATACCTCTAAAGTTTTTTTCACTGGTTAAGGAGTTTGAATTGCTTATGCGAATCAGAGTTGCTTTATATAACATTATAAAATAGAGATACACCTATTGTGAAAATCAGAGTCAATACCCAGACAGATGTTTAAACTGGAAATTTGGCCGACTGTTGATACCAATGTTTTTTTCAAATACTCCTTTTGGTGTACGACTCCCACACTGCCATAATTTTCTCTCATGTTTGATCATAAAAACATATCAGAGTTTGTCTACGAGGTGCCAACCTTTGCCCTAGAAATAAAACTCTTCTAGATTCCAGCATTAAATTTATACAACACAACAGATAAACATCCGCTACAAACTTCGATTCATGCCACATTGTTTGCAGGTGGGCCGATGTTTGTCAACAGGGTGGATAGGATATCGGCTGATACAGATGATAAACCAATGCATCGGTGCATCACAATAATCTAACATCTTGTTTAGATGACATTTAACAGAAACACAATTTAATTAGCATCTCATTTTGCATCAAATGGACTTTCTGGAGTGTGTGTGTGTGTGTGTGTGTGTGTGTGTGTGTGTATGTGTACCTCTCCTCTCTGTTCTCCATCACTTCAGATTCTCCATTTCACAGGACAAAGAAGACATCTTTATCAACATATTTCCAAATCTCTGTTGTTCTGTTCACTCCCAACAATTATTGTGATGAAGAAAACGCAGTCCTCCGCTCTGTTTTGACACATCTTGGGTCCATCAGGCTGCAGGTGCCTCCTTACTGTCAATCAACCGTTAGTAAAAACAATGACTTAATTCAACAGGTTAACATTAAGTGTGACATCATGACATGTACAATAAAATAATCTATTAATTTCCATTTGTTCTCTAGCTCAGTATCACAGTAATAGAAAATATTGTGTTTGTATTTAGAGATGCAAATTTGTGGACCTAGAACAGACATTTCTTAAGCCATTAACGAAAACATTTATACCATAGACTGACTAAATTATCTAAACTTATGGTCCACACTTAATCATTTTTAAGCACTTTTGAATGGTGTCTTAAAGACTTCATAATCAAAGCATTATTTTTTTTTCTATTTCCAATTTCAAGGAACTTTAATACTCATTTGACAGTATCGTCTTCTTAACACAACTTTGAACACAGTAAATTGCTGAGCGATGCTCCTCTGCTTCACATCATATTCAAAGTTTTGTCAGGCTTTATTTTCTTGTTGCTAGGTAACACAACAAACCACTTAAACACGATACCCTCACCTGAATGTCATTATGCTATCATTAGCTGCTCTACCTGGTCAAATCAGAAGACGTGTTGAGACTATGAAAATATGCATACCTGTAAGTTGAGGGTCAATAATACGTTTTCCAACTTTTTGTATATGAAACGTTTGCGAGTTGTAATTACCTCTTAAACACTTTGCACGCTGAGTGTAATCATCTAATGTTACGGCTAACGAAACTGACGTAGGCTAGCTCGATGCTAAAACTGCTACAGAAGCAAACTAAACTTACCCAGTGCATTTTTTTTTTAAACTCTGAAGACCGTGTGAAATAATAACGATGCAGACACTCTGAATGGGTACCGACTACCGTGTCTAAGTGTCCCGACAGAGACCCTGATCTATTGCATGTTTTGCATGTCTGAATCAGTGCCGCGGAGTGAAAGCAGAAGTTCGTTCTGACAGTTCTGTGTTGTTCTGGAGAACAAGCTGTTCGACGGGAGCCGAGCAGGGACAAACAGAGCGGAGGTGACTCACCTGTTGCTGCGGTGAGGCCTTACTGTACACTCTTAATGTTAACAGCCTACACTATCGGTGTTGAGACTACATATCTGTGAGCGTGTTTTCCCATATGAAATATCTACATATTCTTTATTTGCTTCGTTCACTTAGACAAGTTAAGGCTACATAGAAAACGGTAACATACAAACATTTCACAGTCTGGTCCTTTAAGTCTATGAACAGGCCTGTTCAACTAGACTTCTTCTGAGGGGAAGATTTGAAGAAAAAATAAAAATAAGCGCAGGGGTAGGAGCAAAATCCTTCATTCTCATGTCTAACCTAATCCATACATGTAGGCCTGTCCATTAATTTAACACTCGACTTTTCAGAAGAGAAGTAGGCTTAACATTTTTGTTTTGCACAATGATTCCTTAAAAGCATTTTTATTCAATTCTCTATATGAGTCTTCCCTGTTTTGTTTTTACTTTACGTTTGTTCTCAGTTTCGTTTGTGCATCAAGCTTCCGCAGGCGAGATAGGTCTGTTGTAAGACATTTAGGGAGTGTCTGCTTTCACATAGGCTACGTTTCAAGGCAGGTTCTGTTTTTTATTGTTAAAGTGAATCTATAGGCAAAACAAGTTTGACTTAATTGGAGTCGTACGTCGGCTGATCGACCGGTAGATGTCTCTCTTTCTGAGCTCCATTACCTTTACATCAAGCAATAGGGTCTTGGACTACACTCCAGACGTAATGTAGTCATATTCACGATTAAGCTGAATGAAATGTTGGCTGTAGATTACAATTTAACCGTTTGAACATGCCTTTGGGTTGATCAAATATTAAGATAACACAGCATGCACAACATAACATCCTTATAAAGTATAAGTACTAGCAGCCTATATGTTTTTCTAAGATTTACTTTTATTGATCCCCGCAAAGGGAAATTTCAGTTTTTACACTCTGTAAGTCATGCAACACACACATGCACAAACAGGATCCTGTCGACATGCACTAATGGAGAGATGTCAGGGTGACGGAGCTGCCCACAGCGGGCGCTCCTGAGCTGATGGTGGGGGAGGGGGTTTGGTGCCTTGCTCAAGGGCACCTCAGCAGTGCTCAGGAAGTGATCTGGCACCTCTCCAGCTACCAGACCAACTTTCATATTTGGTCCTCACCGGGACTTGAGCCGGCGACCCTCCAGTTCCCAACCCAGGTCCCTGCAGACTGAGCTACTGCCGCCCATAATGTGAAATTTATTTAAAACGTCTTTCATAAGCATTCCTTATTTAAAGCCTTGTTTTTTAAAATTGTTGTCTTATTTTGTGGTGATTTGCAGTCCTTGAAATATCTACCTTAGTAATGATCTATGTCTTCAGGCACTTTGAGTGTTTGTTTGTGAACATGTTATGGGTATCCCATGCGGTCATCACAGCAGTGTCCTCTTGACCCCGAGTCTGGGCTTATTTAACCTTGCCTTCTCTTTGGCATCACAACATTTCACTGATGGCATTTTGGATCCTCCAAGCTGAACTGTTTTAAAGCAGTTTGTAAAACTATTAAGCTATGTGGATTATCATGTTACCTACAATGAAGCTCCTCTCTCTCAGACATTCTCCAGGCTATTTTATTAAGAACAATAAAATACATGAATGTATGTAGCCTATGAAAACGGGGCTAGAATATCCTTTTTACATGTGCCTTTTTTTTCTTTGGCTATACCCTTCCTTTCATCCATGTTCGTGATCAGCTCTTGTTTGCTGTTTTAGTGTTTCTGCCCAGCAGGTTTTGGCTTCAGCTTTTACTGCTTGCAGTAAAACAAGGAAAAGGGGAAAAAAAAGGGAAAAGAGGAGCAGGGGCAGGGAATCCAGATAAATTGGCTCTTATATATTTGCCTTTGTTGAGCTGAAAGTGAGACATTAAAACTTATAGCTGCTGGCAGTAGTTCTGGGCTCTCTTACAAAAAGCAAGCTTTTTCTTGCTCAGCTGTGTTCATCACACAATCATCTCATCATCATCATGTCAGCTGCATCATTTTATAGAGATACACTGTTGATGTTGATATATTCTCATGTTGTATTTTTTAACTCTTAAGCATTCTATATGATTACAGAGAGTAATATATGTATCTTTTTTAGTTTGAATCTTCAGCTATGCAAAAAAAAACAGTGAGAAGGTACTGGAAGAACATGTGCACCCAGGATTTGACCGTCTCATTTTTTAGCTTTAATTTAGATCAATAATCTAACAAGGACAAAATGATTCTGTGAACCCAGAAACTGTTACAATAACCTGGAAGGCTGCAAAGGTTATCAACACTCTCATATGTGGAAACTTCTCACCAGAAGATGCATTTAAATGTATTTTTGTGCAATCAAATGATCATCCTTTTAAATTAAATTAATGTATCTGTGCTATTACACAAACTGGCTCAACAGAGCAGTGACAAAAGAGGGAGACCACACATAGTCTGCAACATTGTGTGTGTGTGTGTGTGTGTGTGTGTGTGTGTGTGTGTGTGTGTGTGTGTGTGTGTGTGTGTGTGTGTGTGTGTGTGTGTGTGTGTGTGTGTGTGTGTGTGTGTGTGTGTGTGTGTGAATGTCAAACTCCAACACAAAACACAAACAAACAAATGATAACAGTAGTAGCAGCAGTAGATTCAGTGGTTTTTAGAATCCCAAAACCAGCCTGCTCAGGTGTGCTGCATTAGAGTCCTCCCTGACTCCACCCACATCTACCTGCAATAAAGAGAACACAGACAGCACAGGGAATCAAACAGGAAGAGGCCAGCCTTGAGGCCATCACACATCAAACTATATAATAATAGGGATGAACATGTAAGAAAAAGGGTCAAACCTGTGCAGGTATTGAAAAAGAGTTGAAAATTCAAATTCATATTCTTAATAATTTGCATTCAATAAGTTGGTTAAGTCCTTTAAATGTAGAACGCATGTGTGCACACATGCACACAACTATACAAACACATGCGTAGCAACTCCATGCCGTGACCTGAGCAGCCAGTTTTCACTGGTCCAAACCCTCATAAACTTCAATTGCTGCTGGAAACAACACACCCTGGATTTACAAGGCTGCAAGCAGTATGTGTGTGCAACGTTTTTAAGGGGGGTAAAACTGAGCAGAGTTTCAGCCAGGCCACAGCTACACAGCAAGTCTGAGAGAGAGCGGTTTGTTAGACCACAATGTCGTGACGAGTGGAGGAATAAGTTACACACAGAGAGCACAAAGCTTCTAATGTATGTATAGAGAAAAAACAAACAGTTAATATTTTTTAATATATTTATAAAGATAGTAATAACATAAATTAACTGAATATTTTTGTTTCTGCAAATCCTGGTACAGCCAACAGTAAAGTGATAACTTTTCTCTCAAAGCGTATCATTTTCTAAAAAAGGAAAAACCTTCACGTGTCTTTCAATTCTGACTTTTTTTTTCATAATTAAGAAAAAAGCAGCATCAGAATAAATTATTTGAAATATGATTACTTTTAAAGTATAAGAAATATATTATACAATTGGCTGAAGTGCTTAGTATTTAGATACAGAATAAAAAACTTAGATTGAACTTTGGATGTCTTAATTCACAGTATCTGCCCACATTTTTATATTTACAGGTACTTACTTTATTCCAACATCTGCAGAGTAAACACTCCAGCTGCCTTCAGGGTAATTTCCAACACAGTGTATAAACTGCATCAGGAGAGTGCAACTTATGCCAAACAAATGTCCTCATTTCCCTGGTGTGCTCTCCACATGTGATTTCTCCAACGTTTGCTTTTAGAACCTGTGAAAGTAAGGATATGGGGCTAGCTAGCTGGATTGATGAAAATCAATAGTCAGCAATGGATCTTTTTTTTTTAGCCTATCAAAATAAGACTCACATGTCTTCTGATGCAGGAGAAACAAAAATGTTGTCTTGGAAACAACAAGGGAGGCCTTTTTATTTATTTGTTTGTGCGGTGTGTGTGTGTGTTTGTGTATCTGTAGGGAGCATATTTAAAGAACATTGAAAACACATGTCTGGAGCCTGATAAAAACATCTGAAGCACAGGGTGATTTGGCATGATCTTTAGAAACACACAATCACGCAAGCATGCTCTCTTGGACTGAGGAATTTTGACCCTCTGGGAACCTGAATCATACACAATGAAGAACTTTATTATAAAAGGTATGTTTCATCAGGCTTTAGTAATCTAATATGTCAAAATGTTATTCCAAATTTTAATAAATAACTGTTTAAATATAGAAGTTGTATCATGCTTAATTCAGCTCTGTTATATTATAATAAGAGGGCGACATGTTAATCAACATGTTCCAACTATATGTTATCAAACCCAACAGAAAGCTGCATTATTGTTTAGCAATATAACAGAAACAGACAGACAGCTCCGCAGTAGATCATGTGATGAAAAATATTGTTATAATCACTTCTGTCACACTGTCTGTTCAGGTAAGAAGAACATATGAAGACAGATGTTTCTGTCTTTCACAGGCAGATATGTATGGAAATTGTGCAATGGCAGACTATGGAACTGATAATTAAAAAAAAGTTTTATATTGAAGTTATTTTAGTTAATTTTTATACAATACTAGTTTAGAGAGAGGATAGTCAGAAACCTAGATCGCATGTTCTCAATCAGAATTCATAATCAGCCATCTCAGGAGTTTGAGGTTACAGAACTATTGTTCTTAATTCACAGCTCCCTTTGAAAGAATGTTAGGGATACATATTTGGTTTAGCATCACAAGTTTTTTTTTTTTTTTAAGTGTAATTAAAGTGTATCCTCTCTGAATGGTGTGATTCAAAGCTCAATTCAAAGGTGTGAAAAACATTGGCTTAGCATGGACATGACAGGAGCGGGAGTCATAAAACGAGACAGCAGTGACCATCTGGCTCAGGTCAAACTCCCACAGAGAGTGATGATCACAGTTTAG